TCCCAAGCATATGTTTCCAGAGCAAAGCCACAGAGAGCAGCAAGTGACATTTTACAGATTCAACTTTTTGGGAGCTGGTAGCCTTATTCCATGCCATTTATTTTAGTGGAGCATATGGAATTAGCTTGTCTTTCTTTGCTTAGGAGCAGAGATGGACAGCACTCTTGAAGGGTCCTACTGGAAGAACATATAACAGGCTGAAACGTAGCTACGTCCACTTGAGATGAGGTAGAACCACATGCAGCACATGATGAATAGATTAGATCCTAAGATAGAAGAGCAGCCCAGCCAGCAAACACAACTGTTATCACAGCACAGTGATAAATATTCATAGCCAAATAGAAGGAGATGGAGAAAACAGCCCTTCTCTTGCAATTAAAAATGGACCTAAGCTTCTGAACTCACCAAACCAAGTAAACAGCATCATAATGAGTCTTAATCAAATCTTATCTGGTACAAAGACTCCCTTGAGAGTTGTAGATATCCTAATGAGGAGACAAAATGCATCCCCCTATAGTTAAGTGGAAACAGGATTAATTGCTGCGGAGGCCCCAAGACCTTCCTTGAGCATAGAGCTGAGCACAAATGGGAAATCTCCCATCATCGTTGAGAAGAATTATGTCAGCTTTGGGACCAACTTTACTGCTTGGGAGACTCCCACCGGGCTATCAAAGCACCAGAGTCTTTAGTTTGATAGAGACAGAATAAGATAGAGGAAGAGTTCAAGGAACAGCCTAAGGATCCAGGATGCAGGCTGAAAGAAGGACTGTAGAAACAAGAACATAGCTTCTACTTTGGTTTTCCCTTATTTCTGCAATACAGACCAGTGGAGACAGAAACTTTATGTCTCCACTAGTTTAAAGATAAAGGGATACAGGCAGTGGAGAAACAAAAAGCTGTTTGAAAGCAAATCAGATCTATCCAATTGGCTGAACCTTCCTTACTCTTGTTTCAAAAATGAAAGCTTAAAATACAGGAGTTGTAGTTGGCTGAGTAAGAGCAAAGGAGCTACACCAGCAGTTTGTCTTCTCAACTCACTGCATCTCAAAGCTGTTCATCTCCTTTAGAGATGGTGCTTGAATTGTGCAAACTTCATTGAAACAAGCACCCACTGCTCTCAGTGCTTGTCTTCATCAGAATCCAGCCCTGACCCAGCGGTGGTGAAACACTGTTCTAACAAGGATGGACTTCCTCTGGATCTGAAGTCTATGGTGTAGCATTAACCACAGTCAGTTGTAGAGCTCTGCCAGTGCCAGAGGTATTATCAGTTGTATTCTAACACTTCCTTTAAAACCAAGTGAGTAAAAAACCCATAAAATCTGTAATAAAACAGAAAGTGTCCATTTTTAAGAAGAAAGTGTGTTCTGGTTATTGGTTACAGTCATTATATATTGATATGGATGGGCTGGAGAAGGTCCAGAGAAGGGCCACAAAGATGATCCAAGGGCTGGGCAGCGTGTGAGGAAAGGCTGAGAGAGCTGGGACTGTTCAGCTGGAGAAGAGCAGGCTCAGGGAGACGTGATCCCACGTGCCAGGAGTTAAAGGGGGGCTGCAGAGGAGATGGAGACTCCCTTTGGACAAGGAGTCCCATGGCAAAGCCGAGGGGTGATGGGCACAAGTTACTGCTGGGGAGATTCCCACTGGACACAAGAGGGAAATTTATCACACTGAGAACAATCAGACACTGGAATAATCATGGAATCCCAGACTGGTTTGGGTTGAAGGGACCTTAAAGCTCCTCCAGTTCCAACCCCCGCCACGGGCCGGGACCCCCTCCACTAGAGCAGGTGGTAGGAGGTTGGAACTGGAGGAGCTTTAAGGTCCTTCCAACCCAAACCAGTCTGGGATTCCATGATTTTATGACATCAACTAATATCTACTGCAGTTGCAAGCAAAGCTGCATGGATGCCTTCCCAACAACATATGTGTTACCATTAAACATCTTCAGACATGGCACAAGAACAAAGCTACTCTTCCAGTTACAACCACAGCAGCATCCACAATGTTTTGCAGATGGTAAGATTTCATCTGACAAGGTGAGAATGAACTAACCAGTGTTAAAGGGCAAATTACTTTGGACTGTTCACACAGGGAGCAACCATGGATGGTGCCAGGCAACCATAAAATACCATGTCCTCAGTAACAGCTGCAAATGTAAATCCAATAAATGGGTCTTAGCATGTTTTGGGCCTTCTTTCTTTCTGTTTTACTTTCTAAATGACATACATCAAACTGACCTTCAGAAGAAGCAAAGTCTATGAAATGGTTCTTTTCTGCTTTCCAACTTGATGAGCTCTAAGGTCCCTTCCAACCCAAACCTGTCTGTGATTCTATGATTCCTAAGCCAGGTCCTTCCAACAACGGATTGCTGGCTCCTGCCAACATCCCAGACACCCTCTTCCCCCACTTGCTACCCTGAGAAGGACCTCTTGAAGCTCTGACCTAAATCAGGGGTCTCTCTGCTTTGTTTTAGTTACCAGCTGCAGCTCCATGACCCAAATGCAGCACAGTGGGTCAGGGAACGGGCAATTCCACAGCTCCCCTACAGCCTAAAGAGGTGACTATAACTTTTAGCACAAATTCCATTCCCCAACCCAACCATCAGTAATTCCAACTTAATCACTTGCACTTAAATATGC